TTCGGTCTGCATGCTCCGCGAGTTTGGTCAGCGGAACATCGTCGTCGAGTAGTGCGGGAACCTATTGCATTGGATGGGGAAATTAATCCACCCAGATGCGACGGAAAATAGACTCGTCTAATGTGCGACCAGCAAGCAAGTGACGCTTGTGGTGCATCAGAGCAGAGGGAGTTTGATCGCCAAGCTCGACATTGTTGAGGAGCTGACGAAGCTTACTGTCGGCAGATTGTGGCGTACGCTCGAGAACAGCTTGTTTTAAGCTAGAGTAGGGCTTAACTTAAGGGATCCTGAAATGCGAAAGCGACGTCAAATGGTAAGTACTGTACGACCTATGCGTAACGCGTACGCGCGCCAGTAAGCTGACGTGAGGCGAAAACGGCCTCGACCTGTCTGAACCAGACGGTTGGATCACGAACCTCGTACTGGGGTTGCTTAACGGCTATCTGAAAAGCATGAGGCTCGTCATGATCGGCTGGTGTGCGCGACTTATTAAAAGGAGCATCCTCTTCTTCTTCTTCGAAAAATTGTTGGTATTCGTCGCCCATGGTGAAAAACGTATGAGCGATAGAATCAAACGTGAAAAACGGGTGGATGGAATAAAAAGTAAGACGTGGATAACGATAGAAACAGGGTCACCAAATTTTTAGAGGGTTGATCGCTACAAATATACAAAACGTCTTAGCAAAAACGCAACGGAAAGTTTTCTAGTGTAGGCTAACCACTAGTGAGTAATTTACTAGGCTATCCTAGTGGAAAAGGTGTAAAAACGGTATACGAGGATAGCAATGAAGATTAAGAAATGATACAACTCACTTAGATCCTTCACGATCCTTGCCAGCAATAGCCAAGAAATCGACTTGCCAAAGGATGACTTCGTGAAGACCGGGATCCAAGTTCGTTGGGTCGTAATTGTGAGATTTGAGAGAAATCTCGTTTGTAAATTGCTGTTGGATTCTCCTGAGCCCGGGAATGATCACCAGAGAAAGTTGTCGTTGAAGAGCGAAAGAAACAAAAGCAGGTGAGGAGAGAAATTGAGCTGTGGAGAGTTGTTAGCAAGAAAATTGCTAGCGAAGAGCACGCGGTCAGAACCGAAAGTGCTGTATTCGAGTTAAAACAAAAATTGGAAAATTGATAAATTTAAACAACGCATAAGTTGAGCCAAGGGCCCACACATCTGATGAGCTGATAAATGCTGAATCGCATTTAATGCACAGTATCAAGGACAACTGGAAAGAATTTATTTACTTAAATACCGCTACGCTGACAGCTTAATTGCAAGATTTTGAGGAAACAGGAACACTTGTTTCGTATAAACCGAAAGGCGGGCCTCCCAAGAAATGTAATTTGAAGGAAACGCGTCCTCTGGGAAAATCAGTAAGTTTATTCAGTAAATTTTCGATACTGGATCACAAGGTTGTTGTCAGACTTGAGAAGAGTGTAAAAAGAACAGTATTGTTCTTTGTACTCTACTCTCAATTATGATGACGACCTGGGGATCCTGTGTCAAAAATTTACTGAATGTACTCATTTTCCCAAAGGACGCATTTCCATGAAAGTAAACTTTTGGCTGAAAAATCGTCTAGGTAATTGAAGCCCTCAACTTGTTTGATTTTTGAACCGACCATACGGACTAATTTCTTGATATTTCTCATGCTGCGTTTAAATGTACCTGCTATTTCCAAATATGACCTCCGATAGTCACGTGATTTAAAACACTACGAGTATGACGCGTTCTCGTGTCGGTTTGCTTTTAGCTGTATGCTACTTCACTAATATCGGTTTCTGTCGAATAAAAATTTCAGTTGAACCACCCGTTGTGCAACTAAAATCATCACTTCGTATCAGATGTGAAATTGATTTTAAGCGTTATGAAATCATGTGGTACAAGGACGGAATAACATTTGGAGAAAATTGCATAAACTTTCAAAAGTTTCTGCTCAACTTTACCTGCATGCAGAATGGGACTTTCGTGGAGTTACTATTTAACAAAGTTGATTACGGAATAAGAGGAAACTGGTCTTGTCAACATGGACAGTATTCTGACGAAATTGAAGTGAATGTTAGAGGTAAATTATCTGCGAGTAGACTACACACATTAGTTGCAAATTATATTATTGTTTAAAAGTGTTGCTGTAGAACCTTGTCTTTTTTTATTGAAGCTATAGGTTCAGATTACAGAAAACAGATATCCTTGTATTATATAAACTGCAAATGTCATGGGATATATATCCCTTTCAGTGATGTCACTGTAAAACGCATATGCTTTTTACAGTTTCTTGTCAATTGCCCATCTGTATATACAGAAAATCATTTCAGCATAGTTGAAAATCGATTTGCATTTTTGATCTCTTTTATTCTAGAATTTTGATGGTTTAGCGCGCTTTTCTACTCCCAACCATTTAGTTCAGGTGGATGCCTCCGATGTACAGATAACACATTAGTGTTTGTAATTGAACTGAATACAGGTACCTTTGCAAGCAGAAGCACATTGGTTTTTATTGTTTAGTTTTGGGCAAATGATTTTCCTAGGGTAACCGGCCACATATCTTTCGACTTATAAGTTTTTTATGAACATCAGGCATCCTTTTAGATATGGATGGGTTAGATTTAAAGGCGGGATTTGTCGATATTTCTCCATTAGAGATTATGCTTCTGACCTACCGTTAACGCCAAAAAATTGATATTCGCATTGTATAGGATAAACCACGTTCAGTTTTGTTCATAAGAAGGTTGCAACTTCTTAAGGCGTACTGTTTGTGCTATGAGCTGCGAACTGATTTTTTATCTACCATTATATATGTTTAACAAAGACTTAGGCTATCCGAAAAATAAAAAAGAGCTTGTGCATTACTCACTTAGAATAGTTTTAAGAACCCAAAGCATTTGCCAGAAGTAGCTATGTACTTTAAGTGCCACTTTTTACAGTGTTCACGCTTTTTTATTTATTTTTTTTTCCCTGACTAAATGAAAACATTGAAGCCGACACAACAGTTTGTGATCTGTGGGCAACCTATAGTCACTTCATTAGAGCGGCAGCATT